CCCAATCTATTTTTAAATAAATGTAGAGGAAATAAATCCTTGTATTGACCTGGAACGTCACGTGCAGGTCAATACAACGTAATATTTTTCTAACATAGTTGGATCTCAGCCAATCAGAGAGATGGAAATTATTCAATCATATAATAAATATAATTATTCCCTTGTTTTAGAAATATACTTTATTGAAATGCCACTAAAATTAATATTTTTTCATCCTTTTAGAGAGGTTGTTTCTATAAATTTAAAAAGAAAATACAAAAAGGTGTAACTTTTGTGTAGTGATACAGAAATTCTTTTTTTCCTGATTTGCTCCACGTCTGACATAACAATAGGGAGATAAAAACTTTATAAGGACGAATTTTTTTTTTTTTATCAATCTGAATATATTTGTCACAAAAAAGAATACAATAGCTTGAGGATTTTAAAAAGTTACGTAATTAACTCGATATTTTAATTCTAAAAAGTCATTAATCATAATTGTTTGTATTTCATCCTTATGAATAATTTCACTTGCATTTTCTTTTCAGAATACATGTCAACATGCGTGACCTATGAAATTCACAACACTTGATTAAAGCAATAAGTGTCAAGGACTTTCTTCAGTGATGACACACCTTTATTTGTTTTGCAATTATATGATAAAGAAGTAAACAAAACAACTGTGACCACATTGGTTGTTGCTGCTTAAAACTGTCACCTCAATATCATAAAATCATTTTTGTTGTCAAATTAACAAATATGTTACAGAACTCCGATTTGTGGATCAATGGTTATTAAATTCTATTTTTAAATGCAGAATTTATACGTGTCACTAACAAGTTTGCAGCGCATAAGGTTTGACAAAATTTTCAGCAAAGGCCGTCCACGAGCCTAGTGTTTTTTTCGTTCTTAACATTTTCCCCAATATACATTGTTATTTTCAAGAAATTTGAAATGTACATTAGACTGTTTTCTTCTTGTGCTATTGGTGAATACTGCTTGTGTACATAAATGAGATATATGGAGATATCGAACAGTATTCAAGATCAAAAGTCCATAAAACAATACAAAATAGGACCAAAGCAAACACGTATTTGACCTCCAAAACATCGGGGGTGTGATCAGGTGCCATGGAGGAGTGAGCATTCCCTGCCGACCGGTCACACCCCCGCCTTGTGCTCTTTGTCATGATCGGGAAAAAACGGAAAAATCCGTCGTCAATTCAGTGTATAAATAATGGACTTGCAATTAGTATGAAAAACGTCAGTCAACATTTGACTCAATGAAAAATTGTATTTGCTGACAAGGTCATCGACAATAGAACTTACAAAATGATGATTTTAAACGAGACTGTTGATATTCTTGTTTCATCAACTTGCTTGTCAATAATTTAAATTGTTTTAGAAATTGTTCGTGCGTAGAACATGCTCTTGAGTATTGAATCAACTGAGATATATAAACTCCGTATGCAGGCGATGAAGGTATATTGCTGCATAAGTAAGGGAAGTTGACGATAGTAAAGTTAAAGTCAGCACGTTTATCATAGAGCTTGGTTGTTTTAAATATCCAAATATGAAAATAAGATATTCAAAATAATTGAGCGAGGGAAAAATTCCATGCTCGATCTTAGCATATTTCATATATATTTCCATGTAACTATACATTTCTTAACAGAATTTCTAACAACAACTACAAAAATAACACAGGATATTGACTGTTTCTCTCATACAATAAAATTTCCGCATTTATGAAATATTAATTTATCTTAAGATGTATGTATGAGAAACAACTATGTGGCATAATGGTGATACACTGTACATAAATGTGGTGAACCGAGATAGATGATAAAGTCTATGTAAATGAACATTTCATTAATTAAGAAGAAAAAACCCAACAACAAGTTGTTACCCAGGATTAATATCTTTGGTATTTTATATATTTTATAAATGAAGATATTATCTCAATTTAAATATATGGCAGAGAAGTCCTCTTGTCATGAAAAATGGTAACGACTACTAAGTTAAGCATCTTAAAATAAATGATATCATTTTTTAGCATAAGTTGAGAGAAGGGTGTGCCGGATTTCTCAGTATTTACTAGAATCTCCACAAAAGAGGTACACAATAAAAAAATCTTTTACAATAAACCAGTTATAAATGTGGTTTTAGGTTTATAAATCCATATCACGCTTTGTACATTATTATACCAATAATCCTAATTTTGTAATAATTATAGTGGAATGTTATTCATAAAGCGTCAATTAAAAAGATTTATTGATTTTGTTCTCTTTATCCCATATCACTGATTTCTTTTTTAATTACGCGTCTTATTTCGTTGAATAATTTGCTGAGTAAAACTTGTATATTTCTGACTCATTCAATTTAATGGAAAGATATTTTTGAAATGAAAGCTGTTATAAATAATGTTACTTAGTACCATTTTTGCGACATTATGGTTTTCCCCCCTAAAAATTTCTACATATGCTCAATTAAGTACATAAATCTCATCGTGCTATCATGACAATAAATAAATTCCCACGTCAATGAGCTAGACAGATTATTATAAAACTAAGATTTAAAAGAAATCCATGGAAATGAAAAGGGATTACTTTCAAAGTATCTTTTATCATAAAAAAAATATGTAGACATTTTTGTCATTTTTTAAATATATATTTTTCAATTGATCAGCTCAAGTTGCTTCGGTGTTCTTTTATAAATATTTAGACAGTAAAACAATTTGACCCAATTCATCGGAATGCTCTAAATGTATAATGAAAGAGATTCTTATACATGTAAATAGATATAGAGAATTATTGTAAGCAATTATGCTAATAAATTATCATCTTATTTTTTTTCCCATGTTGATGAACCAGTCTCGAAGTTAATGTAAATGTTCACTTACCAAGAACTAGACTTCGTAAAATAAAATAAATAGTATTTCGTGCAGAGATAAGTCTAAACACATGTTGAGAAAGAACTTAAGATCAATTTTCAATTTGACGATTTAAAAAAGTAAACAGAAATTACTAGTAACTTAAAAGTTCGCTCTTTGGACACTAAAATGATCGTGTTAAAGAAAGCAAAATCTGCTTAGGTTAATTGTTGACTGACATATTTCGTATACCTACTGTTTTGCCATTATTCTCCTACTGAATTGATTCCAGACTTCTTCGTTTATCTGATCACGAACTATAGTTACACAGAAATTTAATTGATCGACAGGGGATGCTAATTCATCTATGGTACTTGATCCATCTGTGATGCTTTAAAAAGTGCATGTTTACTCTGCTAATTTAATTTTTAATGTTATATTGGACAGTTGCGAATGATCAATGTCCATTATTTTTACATTTCATTCTTTTCAGTTGTCTTGTTCACTTAAAAAGATGAACAATACTTGTCATATTCATAAATAGGATATATACCTTTAGAGTATTTATTTTGAATAAACCCTTGTTTTAAGCCTCTGCTTAGAAGCTGCATTTTAATAATGAATTAATTACAACGCAACCACATTCTCAGAATTCTATTGCCAATAGGAATGACCAACGACAAGTACAAGTAAGTAAATAAACTAGTTCCATTTTCTGGATAAACGTATGTATATATGTGTATATATCTCAGTTGATTCGATACGCAAGAGCATGCTCTACGTATGAACAATTTCTAAAACGAGGTAAATTATTGACAAGCAAGTTGATGAAACAAGAATATCAGCAGTCGCGTTTAAAGTCATCATTTCATAAGTTCTATGGGCGATACAATGACCTTGTCAGCAAATACAATTTATCATTGAGTCAAATACTGATTGACGCTTTTCATACTAATTGTTAGTCCATTATTTATACACTGAATTGAAGACGGATTTTTCCGTTTTTTTCCGATCATGACAAGGAGCACACGGCGGGTGTGACCGGTCAGCAGGGGATGCTCACTCCTCCATGGCACCTCTGATGTTTCAGAGGATCTTGTTTGCTCTGCTCCTATTTTGTATTGTTTTATGGACTTTGATATTGAATACTGTTCGTTATCTCCATATCCTTCATAAAGCAGTTGCCAACGATGTCAAAAAGCCTGAACTTTGAATTTATCGTGGGGAATGGTTTTACCAAACAGAGTTGAGAAGTCTCAAGTTTTGATGTGGTTGATTTTGGTGAAATTTTGGGATTTCAAAATTTCCAAAAGTTATTTGAAGTTTTAAATTTCCACATCTGATTTACACCTCATCAAATATTTTGTTTCACAATAAAACCTCTTCATAATTTAGTAAGAAGTAAAGAAAGAACCTTAGTAGAGCATTTACTGGAACTCACTATTATTTTTGTTTGATTTTTATGAAGTTAAAGAATACTTTATAGGTTTCAAATAATTCAACTTGATTTTGGGAATTTTAAAAATAATCAAAACTGACATAGAATTTTGAAGAATTTCCTCTATAGAACGAAGGTATGTGTATAAGTTTATTGGATGAACACTTGTAGAATTAAATCCCAATTCCTCTAAACTACAATCAAAATAGATAAATTGAACCTTACAAATAAAGATAATGCTATTACCTGTTTATTTATTAGCTGAGACAAATACACACTGATCGTATAATCTAATCCTTTTTCACTTCTGAATTATTGAACAAAGGAGGTTTAGAAAATGATATACTAAATATTACAAATGACAAAGTAATAGAATAAATGGACTGCAAGCACAGGGAATATCCCAACATTTAACCGATAAATGATTATTTTGGATCCTTATATTTATCCTTAAATATAATTTAGAATTGATTTGCATAATCTTAACTTTATATTTGGTGCTATCAATTACTGGTTGTCAATAAGAACAAGAATACACTTGCTCTCTAATCACGAAATTTAACAAAATTATAATATGCAACGCATTAATTGTCGGTTTGTTTCTCACCATCGACTTTTTGCGTTCATTCAAGGATGAAATTTTATGCTATATTTTAATTAGAAGTATAAATTGACGATGCAGGTAAAGTGTTTAGGACAAGACCGCGTGACACAAGGACCATAATTTGACGCAACATCTACAATCGTCTCTCTCTTTCTGGAATAAACACATACGACTTATTTTGCGAACAAAAATCACCGCTGTTTTTTTTTTTTCGGCCAGTTTAGAAAACTAAAGGATATAAGAACGTGTGCAAGTCTTTTTGCGAAAAGTGTGTCTTACTAAGACAGGAGATACAGGCATTTCAATGACAGTCACAAACTAAGGAACTTAAGAGGATATTTACTTTATTTCAGTGAAGAAATTTTATTATTGGATATATATACTCAAAATGACCATCAATAAGGGAAAACATGTCTTATTTTTTATTGTGATACTAGTTTCATTTTCTAAAGGTAAGTGATTTTTCAATATTTTTAAAGAATGAAAAAAAAAGAAAGTTTTCTGTTGAATAAAAGAAGAAAAATTGAAAACATTATTCCATAATTTTGCAAAACTTTCAGGATAATAAAAAGGATGTCAATGCCATGGACACACAAAGAGTACACTACCTTTTAAAATGGAAACTTTTGCATTTTTAGGAACCATTTTTTTTATTTAATTGAAAATAAATTATGTTACTTAGAAAAAGCAATAAGTTTGACAAGAGTTATGATCCCTGGCGTATGCCTCAACCACAGCTTTATTTTGCCAAGATTTCACTATATATTCACTTGTTTAAAAGGACGTTTGAAATTTAAAAAATGTAGGTACTTAAGTGAGTATATGTAGAAAAAATGATAAATTGACACTGAGCTTTAAGTTACGAAAATATCGATATCTTTGCCTTGTTAAAGTTTTAATTCTTTTATAAATGAAAATCAACTAAAATTCAACTTAATTTTTTTTTCATTCACTGCTGAAAGTTGCTTAATATCTTTACATCCTTGTAATACGTAAAAAGGTTAAAAGTAAATCTTCTGACATCGAAGAAAAGAAAGCTACAGGTAGCAGACAGATTAGTGGTTTTACACAGGTAAATAAAGGTATTTTTTAGTTCCTGAACTAGATAAGGATAGAAAAAGTGATTATATGGAGAAAATATCAAAAATCAGCGGATCATCAAATTATGAAAATTTTGACATATATGGAATCACGATCTGAAATTTAGTTATTAACATTTGTTGAAGTTTGACTGATTGTAGTGTTATTCATTTTGAATAAACCGTTATGAGGTCGCATTAAAATGGATAAATTTGACAAAAGACCTAAGGTAGACAAAAAATCTGGTCTTTCGTAGCATACATATATTTCAGTCTTACAAATATTTTACGCTTGTCATATGATTAATCAAATGAAATTGAAAACCTTAAAATGTTTAATATTTAATTTTTCAGCAGTTGTAAAGTATAATTAGATAATTTTTAAAAATATTTTCATTGTATTTTTTCAAAATTGAAAAAAAAATAATCACTTGTTTTCATTCAACATTGGAATACCATATTCCATCCCATAACAAGAGCTTTATTTGATAACCCTGTTTATTCTTTGCAGGACAGGACCAAGTGACGGACACCAGTCTGATTCCTGACATGCCTGCATTTCCAGGCGATCCACCGCCAGCGGGTGGTAAGTGGAACTCATCCTGCTTTGTTTTTTTTTCGTTGTAACCTCGACATAATTTATTCTATGTATGGTAAATGATAATTTCTAGAAATATATTTGTTTATCAGTATCCGCTCCAAAATGTTTGCAGTGCTATGATATAAAATGTCATAGAGACAGTGACGTTACAAGACTAAGTTTAAAAACTTTACAATTTTAAAATTTACTTTACAGACCCTTTTGATGTACCTTTGGTTGCTACAAACACCAATGAAGAAGTTTTACTGGGAGACACACCAGCCATTGACTCAGTTTCTGATCCTATTTCCCAACCCATAGCCTCAGATGTTGCTGATGTTGTGACCAATGAGCCGATAACCGTTACACAAAGAGTTGTTACAGACCTTCCTCCAATGGATGGGACCACGACTTCGACGGAACCTGGAACAGGTGATATCGTAACCGATCCTCCTGGTGTCATTGACACAAATTTGATAGAATCTGGACCGGAGGTCATATCTGTAGGAGATGGCGGGCTGGCTACCGATAATATTCCTGGCAACGTAGCTGTGGACTCAACTGTTCCTGTCACAACAGTGGATTCTAATTTTGACATTAACGGCACGTTTGATGGAAGAAATGATATGCTTTTACTCACTGGTTCAAAACCAACAAACGACTCATTGCTTGCTGCTGCAAAAGAAGCATCTCTTGCAGAGGAGGTGACTACAAGTCTCCCTACACAAGTTCCTGATGTAATAGACACAGTAACTGAACAACAAATCCCAGTGGAAGGCGAAGTGACTCAAAATGCTAACGATTTAGTCAACTTGAATACAACTGACAATATCGGTACAAATATTGATGCTCAAAATCGACAAATAAGCATCACAACCCCCATAAGCGATCCAAGTGCTGTCGATCAAGGAATACCTTCTGAGGTATTAAACGTACCAGATGTAACTGATTTCCCTAATTTACCTGAAGCCACTGATAGAATGTTAGAAGCATCTACTACTGAGACGTCACAAAGCACAGCGGACATGAGGGCTGATTACGAACAGGCAACAAAGGAATATGAAACTTTTCTACAAGAAAATCCAAACACAACTTTCACAGGCCCTCCAGCTCCACCTCCACAAAATGAAATTTCTTCTGTCCTTCCCCCAATAGACAACACACCTGTTATTCCTCCAGGACCTATCCCACCTGTCCCTCCTCCCAACCAAGGCCTAGAACCAATGGTTACTCAAGAAATGGTTTCCACAGTCCCAACTGCTATTGAAGACGCACGACCTGTAGTTCCTAGGGAACCTGTCCCTCCAGTTCTACCTCCAATAGAAGATAGTCTTCCAGGGCAGATCTCTCCATCCGAGATTGAGACATCATTTACAACACAATCCACTCTACTTACAACAAGAGAAATTACAACTAGAGGCATTGAAATGACTGTTCAACCTGATATTTCTGCAGGAGGAACAGATACTGTGACAGAGGTGCGATCTATCCCAGTTTCTTCCACTAGATCCCCTGAAACAAACACACGAAGGCCTACAATTACTCGCAATAGGTTGAGAGGAATTTCCGCTGCTATACCACCTCCTCCTCCACCACCTTCAGATGTATATAAGACTGACTTTGGTGAAAATGTTAACCAAAAATCAAAGACTTTCCAATACAAACCAGTTATTCCAGAAAGAGAAGCCTCAGGTGGTACCAACGTAGTAGATATAAAGACTATTCCTGACAGAAACTCTGGAACAGCCAACGCATACCCCTTTGCGATTGACCAACAAAGAAATCGCCCAAGAGAAACTGCCACAAGACAAAGAGATCGTGGCATGTCACTCATTCAATATCAATTTAATAATCGAAATACACAAAGAGCTGGTAGGCGATCTGAAATACGAGACAACAGAACTGGAACAAGAGCAAGAGATCTTAGTCAAAATCAAAATTCAAACAGCTTTGATGCTCTCCTCGATAAGAATAAGAAATTTGTTGCAAGATTCGACCAACCAGGAATGCCATTTTATCAGAGGGCTTCCGGAGGACAATCCGACAACGCATTCTTTTATTCTCAACCTATCAACTCAAAGCCGTTTTACCAAGGTCAGAGATCTGTGGAAGAAAGAGCATTTTCTGACTCTAGTGACACAATGCCGCCGATACTTGTTAAAGAATATAACCCTAGATCCAGTCGTCAAAACACAGTACCAAGAACACAGAGCACTTCTAGACCTGTCGCTGCAAGATTTAATCCCAGAAACATTGGAGATTCACAGCCTTTAAGAACTAATGCACAGTCCTTTAAAAACAAAATGGACAATAGTTATGAAATGTGGTATCAAATTATGGGAAATGAATGGGAAAAAAATCGAAACAGATATAGACAATCCGAAGGTAGTTCATCCCCAAATCGTAGAAACATGGGAGTAAGGGTGTTGAATACATTTTGGTCTCGTTCAAGTTCCGATAGCAGGAATGGAAGAACGCCAGCGAAAAATAATAATATAATATCCAGCATTAACCAACCTTCTACAGAACAAAGAGAAAATCCTGCAAAAGGATCACAATTTTCAAATCGGAGAGATAATTCTTTCGCCTTTGGCCCCCAGAATCAAGGATCTCAATCTAGAAACGTTGTGTCTGCAAATGAAGCACAAAGACCAAATCAGAAAGCTAATTCTTTTGAGTTTGAACCACAGCTTCAAAGATTCCAATCTTCTGGTCCATTTAGAATGAAAATTAAAGAATACACAATAACCAGGGACCCAAATCTTGTAAGTACTACGGAGGCGCGATTAAATCTTCGTGTTCCAACGATTTCAAGACCACTTGAACCAGAACTAAGGCCAAACTCATTTTCTCAAAACAATCCCCCTCCAATTAATATCGGTAGTGATATTTCTGAATTAGAGTTCCAAACTTTTATAACAACTACTGAAAGACCAACAACACTACCACAACCTTCAGTTGCTTCTGGTTTTAGAAACAGACAACGCTCGGTATCAACCACAGGTGTCAGAAACAGGAATTTAAGCAGAAACAGATCGTCTAATGACAATCTCGATCTACCACCACCGCCAATGATTTCTAGACGAAGAAGGTTAAATCCTTCTATAGAGGATGGTACTCCTATGAACCCCCCTGGAAATCGATTGAATGAATTGAGACCGACAACGGTCATAGTCCCATCGATACAAAGTGAAAGGAATGTTCCACTTGTTAAGTCAATACCAAATGCAGTTCCATACGTACCAGAAATGCGAACGCCGAGAAGAACAGACAGAAGACTCTCTGCTTTACCGCGACCTCCAGCAATAAATGTGGGCTCTTCTTCTGGAGGAGAATTATCTAACGTGGGCAACGGCCAAAATCCAATGCCCATTCGGAACGCTCAACCACTGCAACAAACCACACCCTTTAGTTTTACACAAGCACCAGAACTAACACCTGTGCCCCCTTTGTTTTCTGTCAATAGGACTTTGGTCATGAAGCTCCAGAATGATTCGGTTACTAAGGAGGAACTTCCTCCGAGTAAGTATTATTATTCGTTTCAAAGAAGTGAATATATTTTTACAATTTCAAATAATTAGAAAAAAATGGAGACAGAGACTTGTTCAATAGAACACTTCTGAAACCCTCACTAATTATAATTAAGCGGGCACAATATGCTTTTTTTGTTAGTTGTAAATAATTCAGAAATATTCTTTGCTGTCTATATTGTATTGTTTAATGTCTTTCTTGTGCTTTTGTCTTAATAGGTGTGTGCCATCAATGCCACTATGTCAGTGACGTATGTTACCTAAGTGAAGCTGGAATTTGTAATAGATTTGTAGAATGTCACAAAAATGGTGATCAAGTAAGAGCGTTTGAAAAAGAATGTGCGATTGGAAACTTCTGGAACCCAGAAACTCTTGCCTGCCAGAAATCCCTTTATGTCAATTGTCCATCTGGTAAGCAGAAAAACAAGTTAAAACAACGTTTTAATTGAATATTCATGTAAACATTAAACAATATGATAAATTAATAAATATGCACAGATTCATTCTTATAAACTATGAATTTACTGAAAAAAGCGTTTCTTTCTCTCTGGTTAGACCCTTGCAAGAATCCAGCTGTGAAGACTCATCCATTCTTGGGACGATGTCGATATTTTTGGAAATGTAATCGGGGGATGTCAGAGTTTGAATTATGCAGTCCAAATTATCGATACGATGGGATTACAGAAACCTGTGTCCCAGACTTAACTTGCAAAGACAATGACCTACCCAGTGAATTAGGTCCACAACAAGAAAAGAAACCCGAGAGTAAGTCATATTGTCCTTTTAATTTTCTAATTTGCTTTTAAAAAAATACTATTTTACTACTATATATGAAAATCAGTTTAATATGAAAAGTTATCATATTTTATCTGATATGGCAAAGATTATCATTCAAAAGCTAGAAAATTTTCATGATAATAAATAAATTGATTGTGAAAAGGAGCAAAAACGTAAGTCTAAGAGTTTCCATCGTTTGTGCAGAGTGCATTTGGACAGCTGTACAAGGCTCTCTAACCTCGTTTACTGACGGATTTAGACAACAAGAATGTGCGCCTGGAACTCGCTTTGATGAGGTTCAGTGCACATGTGTCAGGAGTAACATACAGCCGCCAGGAGAAGGTTTGTCTATCTGTTATATGAAATCATTTTGATTTTTGTTATAGCAAACTTAAATCTTAAACATTGTACTCAAATTTCAAGTCGTAAAATATGTATATTTCTTATCATCCAGTTTGTAATCCTGATACGTTGATTGACTTTGAGGGAGATGAACCGGCAGCATTTACCGACAAGTCCGGCCATATGAATGGAATGGGCAAGGAAGGTGTGATTTTAAAAGATGGCACTGGTTTCTTCTTTGGACGTGGAAAGCTTTCTTTTTGGCGTTATGCCAATGTGGAACTTGGTCCTTTACTGGCCATTCAGATTCGCTTCTTTCCTTATGGATACGCTAAAAATCCTATGGGACTTGTATCCAACTGTAATGGGTCTCCAATAGGATCTACTGTTGATATTCGACTTGATACAAGAACAAAAACAGCGGCCTTTAAATTGAGTACCAATCAACAAGTAAATAATGTCATCAAGCTGCCTTATGAGGTAGGTTAACGTACAGATGGACGTTTCTGCCTAACTTTTATGTTCAACTTCCTGTTTCCTGCCTTCATTTCTCGATGCTGTAGTGAATTCACTGAACTCCATACTTTTATGATACTATTTGTTTTTCAGCCCTTTCAATGGAATACAGCTACTTATGTCTATGCTGGAGACACTTTTACTGCAAGCATTAATGACAAAAAAGAAACCATACCAGTGGAAGGTAACTGCTTAATAATTTCTATTCTATATATTGTCCTGTTATCTAAAGGCTTTGTTTTTAAAATGATCTTATGAAAAACTGGACTAATTGTCAACTGTTTATTGTTGCAGGTTCGATTCCCAATAGACACCCCGCTATTCAAGTTGGGGGTTGTAATAGAGAGGATGGGTTCAGAGGTTATGCTGATGATGTAAGTGACATTTCACATCAGATATAAATATCACACATGTCTTTCACCAAATTATATATCTTGATCTTTTTAAACCACTGAATTATAAATGTGTATTTTCATAACCTTGATCTTTTAGATTAAAATTTACAATGGATGTATCCCAGAAGAATTTGAGTACATAATCTTCACATGATGACCAGTGGTACCTCTAACAAGAAATCCATCAAGCAGTCGGTAAATCCCTAAAAACAAGACATTTAACTTTGGTACTGACATATCCCTATACAACAATGAACATCGTGACAAATTTACACATTCCCTCGTGTTATGACTTGTCATATCTGACGGCGGTGAATATTTATGGCACCGGGAATTAACCGAAGATTTTGAGACACGCCTAAGTAAGGTCTTCTGAATATAAATGAGACCAATTGAGAAACTCACAGAATAAAGAATACGTGATAAGGCGTATTTGGAACGGACTTGGTGCAGCGGCGCACTGAAATGACATGTATACATTGGTAATATTGTGCGAGACCTTTACCACACATAGCATATCTCATATTAGAACTTATAATTTATTGTCCATTACTTTTGAAATATTCCAATTATACAAAACCTCATGAATGTTTAATATTGTTATTTTTGTCACAATTTTTATTTTGTGATAATAATTGTGTCAAACACATTATTTCCATATATTTTCATTCGTTGGCATGTTACATGATGAACTGAAATGTAATGCATCATTTATAACTTATTTATTTATCATATATCTACGTTCTACTACAGCCTTATGATTATATCTGTACATACCATGTATGAGCGGCGGAAATGGAGTCAATTTCAATTTAGTGATGGCTGTAATTGATATCTGTGTGTTTGAGTTCTCAGTATAGATATATTTTTTGGACATATATTTCTGTTATTTTCCGTGATGAAAGATGACATGTCTGTATGTTGCAAAAAATAAAGTTAATGATATGTAGATTATTAAAGAAAAGACACAAATTGTACTTATTTTATTCTCACTTATAACCGATATCTAAAGAATTTCTCTTCCAAGAAGAATCGCTCTCTTCCTCTGTTTAAAATACTAATTTATTGGACTTAACAGAAAATAAACTTCCGTGTAAAGAAAAGATATATGTATTTTTTTTTCTTTAAGATTGAATCTAGATCTATTGTAATAATGGTTTTAAAGAATTAATATTATTAAATTTGATGAAAAAAATTAACGAATTGCTCGATAAGCTTGGCATTTTGTACATTCTTTTTTATCATTCTGTAATATACAAATACATGTACTAGTATATTATATTTACCATATTTTCAGTTCATCATTTCAAGTAATGAAATTTCGAATCAAGTATCAAAGAAAAAAAAAACAATTCAATATGTATTTGTTCAGATTTTTCACAAAGATATCAATTTCTTTTTCATAAAAAATATGATAATAAAATCGTTGAACAAAAGGCTTCATTCATATCCTGTATATATCAGATTAATGAATTCGTTACACTCTTGAGGTGACAATAAATATAACAAATACTTGATGAACATAAATAATTCTTAACAAAAAAATTAATAGCTCTTTTAAATACTTAAAATGAAATAATTCAAAACCTTCTATTGCGACTTGAAACATTCTTAATAAATCAACCACTCAGCTTGAAACAATATTAAAGGTTGGATTTTTGTGTGTGCTCTCTTGATAATCGCCAAAGATCAGAATGGAATCATCATTTTGAATAAAGTTTGCATTTAAAAACTTCATAATTTGGAATTTTCATTACCTTTTCTTAAAAATGTTCGGGGGAATACCTTTTTTCCGGATAAATATCAAACGGATGACAAATCTAAATTAAAAAAAAACAACATACAATTGTCAGCATTTTATATGTCAATTATTTAAAAACACAAAGGTTCCATTTGAAACTGAGGCGTTAAGGTAAAAAATGTCATCACCTAAACAATGTAAAGCGAAACTGAGTACAAATATATAATTATTAATAAACATAAACTTTTATTCAGACAATTACACAGCATAAATTTCAAAGAAGAAGAATGTCATTATTAGCTGACAATCATATACATTCAAACAATCGTAAGGTACATAAACATGTATAACCCTTTTTATATTAATTGCTCAGATTCAATGAAACGTTAAACAATTACCCAGGAGTTCTGATTGCCCTTAGTCATACTGTCTTAAAAACACACCACGCACTCTGATGAGGTCAAATATTTTCAATCTTGATATGCCAAAATCATATTTCATAGAAGTGTAGGAGTTGGCCATGGAAAATAAGTATCAAAGACAGCCTTCAAAACAGTTTTTGTATAACACATCCGTCTTATCAAAGACTTTAAGATATATATCTTTTTCACATAATTTTATGAATATCTTTATAAATATCAAACATTTAGATTACATATCCTATAAAGAATCAATTTCAGATTAAGAGAGGATCTACTCAGGACAAAAACATTTTATTTTAATTTGTTTTATAATATTTGGTTTGGTAAATTCATCAATTTTTGTCAAAAATATTTTGATGAATAATTCTGACGGTAAATATAAATTCAACAATACATCATTCTTGGCGTAATAACTTGAAATGTCTCAGAACAATTAAAAGTGACTAGATATATAAAAACAAGTATTGTGTTTACTTTTGAAGCAACAAAGAAACAAAACAAGCTGAAAGCATCGTCAATCACTCAATTAACTTACGTAATAGAGCTATTGCCATTACAAAACATGTCCAAGTTTGCTTTTCCATTCTGATTTTTTACGTAATAAATATTCAGAATATTGCAGAGTTCCAATGTTTTGAGTAAGGTTCTTATATAATTTTACGTGTGGGAGGTTCTTGTAATAGTTCCAGTTCATATCAGCGGTATTTGGATGATAAGTCCTATATCTAATTACTTCCTCTATGCAGTCTACAGAAGTAGTGTCCACGCGAATATCAAACTTGTTAGCGATAACTTGTGGTTGCTGGAGAAGCCACGGCAGATCCGAGGGACCGTACACACAGACTGACCTCACCCACTGGCCACCGCAGTCCGACCGCCGCATCTGCCATTTAATGGCACGTGACAGGAATGTATTGTTGTCTTCTGACGTCATGATGTAGTACCCACCTGGAGCCCATGGTAAACTATTTAACGTTGCAAATAATGTTTCTTCAGGGGAATACGTATCAGATAACCATTCAATAAACTCCTCGGATATATCATCAAATAAAATGTAATTCACAAAGTCGTATGACAACATAGCGTATGCACTGCCTTTCCTGATTTTTATTGGGTAGCGGAAAGAGGGATGAGTGGTGTTCGTTTGTATCATTTTATTTCGAACTTTTACATATTTATACTTGAATCTATATTGCAAACCAAGAGGAAAGTCATAACTTTCAATATCATTTGCTCCGGTTAAAGTTTTTAATATCTGCACTATTTCTAAATTTGTTTTTAAAGGAAACTCTTGTCCAGTAAGGTTGATATAATATTTCCATTTGACCTTTGACCGCATCAGTACCCTCATACATTCTAACTCCGCATGTACTAAATCAATGCTAGCGTACGTCACTCTTTTTCTGCCTTCCACAACAAACACATTGTCAAAACATCTACCCAATTCCTGCATTATGTTAAAAAATTGTTTGATTGCCTTCCTGTCCACGTAGATACAGTACACATTATGAGGTCTGTAAATTGTTCTCAGTAACTGCTCACCTTGGTCTGCGTTGGTGTGCATTTTTATGGTAAAAGCAAGAGGAAAATCGAGTTCCTCCGGTGACAAGGACTGTGTGATGTATCCATGGAGATCTAAAAGAGATGTACAGTCCTTGACCAGATTCAGAATCATACAGGGTAGGACTGGGTCAGAAAACTTCGTTGTTTTGCTTAACCTTACTGCGTTCTCCTCTCCTCGTATCAAAGGTCCACAAGTTATGTTTTTTCTCTTCAAATTTCGGCACTTTGACATGTCGTAGTTAGATGAGCTTGCTAATCTATTTGGTGGAGGTCCATCGTCTATTAAGTAATTTTTGTTTCTTTTAGTCTCCATCGGGTATGTTTTAATTTTTTTGAATGTCTTTTGATATAAGTAAAATGTTAGAAAAAATGCAACTAACATACCAGAGACAAAGTATCTCAAGGAAAATGGATACCGTTCCATAGTAGAAGGACATCTGCAACAGACAATTTAACAATGCATATTAATAACTAAAATTCTTTAAAAAATATTTTTAAAAGTACATCTTCATTAAACTGTTTTAAGATTTCAGAAATTAATTTCAATAATTAAGACATTTCGTTAAAGTGGTTTCCTACCTTTTACATCCTGTATCTCACAGCCTGTCGGGTTTGGCCTTGCCGTTGGAAATGGAGCATCACCAGCAAGATACATTTAAGTATCCTTCCCTCTGGCAACAGGCCCTCTGCCAATCTGTGGTAATGGGTCAACGCGAAACTCCCCCACAACCAAGGAGAGCACGGTATGAGCTGCACCGAACAGTTGTTTCACGTGGCAAGGGTAACATGAAGGTTTTATGAAATAAAATTTCTTTTAAAGTACATCTGTACAAATGTCCTGGCGGCTTCTGATGTAATATTACGAATACTGGATGTATTTCTAAGCACTTCAGTATCTTTACGGAATTGACTTTTCTTATTAACCTCTATTTTTATGGCGTGTCAGTTGCATTCCTTATGATATTGACATTTAAAATCGCAGAAGTATAAAGTGTTAAATATTGATAATGCAATTTTAAGGAGAACAGCAACTGCTGATGTAATTCACTTTTTGTAATGTAATTGAAATGAAATATTCGTATGGAATAAAATGAATAATAGAGCAATGTAAAAGCGTGTCTACATTATAAAAAAGGAAAAGAAAAAAAGGCGCTCCATTGTAGTTTATTAAAACATAAGTTTTATGTTTTTCATGAGTTTTAGATTAGAATCTTAATACACAGACCTTCGGTGCTTTACCCCTTAGGCCTTACACAGAATAATCAAACGGAAGTGGAACCTCTGAAGTAGGAAGTTTTTGAAAATTCTCTAATGTCTACAAAGTTAATCATAATTTCATGGAAACTTGTCTTAATTTATGAAAAAGGTTTTGTGTTTGGAAACATCTGTTTTGATGTACATACATCACTTAACCCTTTTTGTTTGGGAGCTTTAATGATGTAGCGAAACACGTGTAAGTTACGAGTTTCGACATTGCAGAAATGATGTTTAATGATGCACATAACTATTAGTTAGATAATAACAAAAAAATATGATTTTTCTGTTTGCTGCTAATATGTCAAATTTGACAAAATCATAGGATTATTATATCAGATTTTTGATTTTGATTAATTAGGCAAAACATTGTAAGAGTGACTGTTTGATTCAACACATTGTATCTGGTCGCTGTGATAATAATATTAATGACAAGGGTCACCTAACAACACATATCAAAAATATGAAATCTGCAAAAGTAATTTTAAAATGCATGACAAATGCAAAAAGAGTTCAGTACCGTGCGATTGATAAATGAATACTTGGAATACACTATTCAAGAGGGTCTCGGTATGTAATTAGAAAACCATTAGTCTCTTGGAGCGCTGGAGGCAAAGTTACTCAAAAAAACCTGAAAGCTGTTGTTATAATGTTCTTACTGCATCTATCGTTTGTATGTCATTAGTTTGCGTTTCAGTAATGTCACTTTAGACAAAAAACTTAAAATACTTCACAATTTTTAACAGAATATATTAATATTCACGTCTGTTTAAATGTTTTTCCACCGTGGCAAAAACTTAAAAATTAATTAATTTCATTAATTATATGTCCTACAGCAAATTCAATAGCTTAACATTCTAGAGTAATTTTTTGCAAGGATGACTGTATTTGCATACATTTGATTGTCTTCATAATAAGAAAAAGAACCCCACAAACTTCTTTCACATCTTTATTATCTTTCAGAGAAAAGGCATGTTCTATAATGATTCATCCGTCGTCACAGTAACTTCCAGGAAAGGCATCGTGGAATGATTGAGACATCACACATCTTTTACAAATAGAATCCTGACAAACAAAACCACAAAGTAAAAGAAGTAACAGAATGGTTCTTATTTTATACATTTTTCACTTGTTGTATGTTTAAGTATTGAATGTACTACTGAAGATTATTGAAACGCATAATATTTACATTAAATATGTGCTTTTCGTTTAGGTTTTTTTTAAAATACCGTCGTATCTCCGAAGTCCTATAAAATTAACAAATTTTAGTTATCTTTGGTATGTGAAGCAGTATCTATGATAGAATCCTAGGTTATTCATAGATGAAATAAGAAGCCCTTCATTTGTTTTTGTTTTTATCATTATACTTGCTAGGCTTAGTGGTGACTTCTAATGCCTATTTTTTTTCATACCCATTTCTTTGCTTTGTATTTGGAATTTGTTTTACTATATAATTTTTTAATGTGTTTGTAGACATTAACTAGTATCTAGTTTGATTCATTTACATTTTAATTAAATATAAATTGCTTTTAAAACCTTAGTATTGATTTATTCTACATGTATTTTTCCTTTTTTTGTCAACAACAAATGATTGAGTATAGATCTCCACCTTAAACTAAAGTTATGCATTTGAGTTCATATCAATGTATTACAGAAACATATTCCACATTGTGGATACTGTTATTATTATTATTTTTTTAAAATATAGAATTCTATTAAAAAAAAGTACTTTTTGCCCACTACAAAGCTCTTACGTTTTTCATCAAGTTTTTTTTAAAGGATTATGATATGTTTGCTTGTTTGTAAATTTTTATGAATTTGTTTACAATTTAAAGATTAGCTTCAAGCTGTTGCTATGCATGAATCATCTTTAAGTAATTTTTATGGAACAAAAATATCTTGTTGTGTGCATTGCGTGATTAAGAAGAAAATTACCACTTGACACCCTGCGATAAATCCAATGCAGAAAGCTTATTAAAGCTATTTTAATATGACGTGGGATGAGAGCTATAAATCAAAACAAAATCGAAGTTTCTAATTTGATAAATGAATATTTTTTTTATAAAAAAAGTCTAGAGCAAAAAATCATTTAAATCAATCCTAAATTACAAATTTTGATAAATATTGATGCCACGACATTCATGGATTAAATACTGTTTTTGAACTGATTTGAACATTTTGAAAAAAAATTAGTATAAATAGTATACATACATGTATAGTAATATTACCATTTATTATAATACGCAAAGGAAAGATAAAATTCAAAGTTACAATCAGCAAATGCTGTGTTTGATTCATCTTCAAAATTTTTGTCACACCTACACATAAGTAGTAGTTTGTTTCCTGTAATTTTTTTCTACGAATTTAAATTGTATTTGTAGATTCTTAAACATTCAACACTCCAAACCTTTGAAAATCTGAAGCCAAAAAATCTTTCTTATAACCAAATTGTATGATCTTCCATTTTTTTTTTTGCAACCACTCTTTTTTGGGGGAAAAAGGACACAGGTTTTGACATTATAATTAGCTGCTTCTATAAAAAAAGTGAACTTAGAAAATTCCACATCTAGTGATTATTCATGTACAAAATTATTTCTTTCAAAATCATTTTTATTTTGCACACATAAGGAAATATTTTTTTTATTTGAATTATATTTGGGGACGATGACTTCCATGGATGGGTGTGAATGTGGTCCTTAATTGACTAAATTTTTTAACTAAGAACATTTTTTTAAAAAAATAAAAATTACTTCTTCATGTTAAGAAAACTTGCTTTTATCGTCAATCCGACAGTCCATCAGATATGTATATTTAAAAATTCCATGGAACTTTCGGAAAATATGAAATCACAAAATTTTATCAAAATCAACATTGCATAAAAACTTACGTCCTTTCAACTTTATAAACAACCATACGAGAAGTTAAAGTCCAGGATTTTTTTTTAGATCATTGACAGCTTCTTTTTCAATAAAAATGGAACTCGAAAATTTACTTACCTTGTCATTAGTCATTTGCAAAATTACATTGTTAAAAACATTCTGATTGTACACACAAGTACTATGGAACTGATATTAAAAAGATGCTTGAGTTTCTATTTGACAATATCTATTTGATTTTGGAAACCAAGTCTTCCAAAAATCTATTGGAATTCCCATGGGTATCAATTGTGCTACGTTATTAGCAGACCTATTTTTGTATCTATACGAAGCAGAATTTGTCCAAAATCTTATAAGTGAAAAGAACAAAACACTTGCCGTGGTTTTCACCTATACATTTAAATAATACAGTATATCGGCGATGTATTATCAATTTACAATGATTCCATTCTTATTTCGATACAATATATCCCGGTGAGCTTGAAATAAAAGATTCCACAGAGTATGACAAATCTGTTTCATACCTAAATATTGTGCGGGTGTGACTGGTCGGCAGGGGATGTTCACTCATCCATGGCGATTGATCCCGCTTCTGATGTTTTGGGTCTGTGTTTGCTCTGCTCGAACTTTGTATTGTTCAACGGACTTTTGAGCCTGAATACTGTTTGTTATCTTAATATATTCCATTTCATATAATATTGAACTCAAAATACTAATAAAAAAATCATATAGAGTTCATATTCCTTAACTGATTCGATACGAAGGGGCATGATCTTATTATAAGAAAGTTTTATCCAAGAGATGTTACTAGCAAATTATTGATGTTACGTGGCTTTCTCATTGACAGTCAGCACATCATCACAAATTCTACAGTGGTTATACCAATCTTGCATCTTGCAAGGATAATATCTGAAAATCAAAGTGGCTTGCATATGACCACAGAACATCAATTACGGTAAACAATTTTTATTGCTAGTATATAACTATATAACTTAAGTGCATATATTTTTATAACAACGTGGTCATTAAATGAATTTGTTTTCTGATGTAGGAATCATACACAATCTTAGTAATTTTGAGGTGCCAGGAAGGGTTTTCAACATTAAAATATGAATAAAGTACAAAATGAAACATATGAAGATAACGAACAGTATTCCAGATCAAAAGTCAATAAAACAATACAAAATAGGAGCAGAGCAAACATGCAAAACTTCAGAGGTGGGATCAGGTGCCACGGAGGAGTGAGCATCCCCTGCCGACCGGTCACACCCGCCGTGTGCTCCTTGTCATGATCGAGAAATGAAGGAAAAATCCGTTGTCAGTGTATAAATAATGGACTAACAATTAGGATAAAAACGTCAGTCAGCATTTGACTCAATAATATATTGTATTTGCTGACAAGGTCATTGCATCGACCATAGAACTTAGTAACCGAAATAATGGCTTTAAATGAGAGTGCTGATATTCATGTTTCTTCACCTTGTTTGTCAATAATTTACCTCGTTGTGGAAAATGTTCATACGTAGAGCATGCTTTTGCTCTATCGTATCGACATAGGAATGGAAATTACCATCGTTAATTGACAGTATGTCGACGATGTATCTAAATGTCGACCTGAAGCTAACAGCAAGTGTTTTCTTCTTTTCATGCATAAGATTTTGCACAAATTCTGCTTCATATGAATACAAAAATAGGTCTGCTAATAACGGAGCGCAATTGGTACACATGAGAATTCCAATAGATTGTGAAGGCCTGGTCTCCAAAAACAGCATAGATATTGTCTATCAGAAACTGAAGCATCTTTTTGAAGTCGACTTCATAGTACTTGTGTGTAC